TTTCAAGAAATGTCTATTAATACCTTTTGCCCATTTTTAAATTTTGTTATTGTTGTTGAGTTGTATGAGTTCTTCATATATTTTGGATATTAATCTCTTATCAGATATATGACTTATAACTATTTTTTTCCATTCTGTAGATTGCCTTTTATTTTTCATTACATTTGACATTCAATATTATATTAGTTTTAGGTGGATATCATAGTGGTTAGACATTGATGTAATTTGTGATATGATTCCCCCAGTAAATCCAGTACCCACCTGACACCATGCATAGTTATTACAATATATAGTTTGCCCATTTAAAGTGTACAATTCAGAGGTTTTTAGTATGTTACATTATTTTTAGTTGTGATAAAGTATAACAAAATTTGCCATTTTAATGATTTTTAGGTGTACAGTTCAGTGGCATTAATTACATTCACCATGTTGTGCAACCATCACTATTTCCAAAACTTTTTCATCACCTCAAACAGAAACTCTGTAACCATTAAGCAATACATCCCCATTTTTTCTTCCCTCTAGTCCCTGGTAACCTCTAATCTATTTTTTGTGTCTAATAATTTGCATATTCTAGATATTGAAATATTGATTTCACTTATATGTAGAATCTAATGAACAAAATAAACTAGCAAATAAAATAGAAATGGACCTACAGATACAGAGAATAGACTGACAACTAGCTGTCAGAGGGGAGAGGGTTGTGGGGCTGGGTGGAAAGGATGAAGGGATTAAGAAAAAAACAACAACCTCAGAGACTCAGACAAAAGTATGGTGATTACTAGATGGAAAAGGGGAACAGGTGGGGGAGGTAGAAGATGGTAAAGAAGCGATAAATGGTGATGAAAGAAGACATGACTTGGGGTGGTAAACATACAATACAATATACAGATGGTGTGTTATCGAATTGTATACCTGAAACCTATATAATTTTATTAACCAATGTTATCCCCAATAAGTTCAATTAAAAAAAAAAGTTAAAAACCAGAAAATAAGTTTGGGGAGGATATGGAAAAATTGGAACCGTCATAACATTGCTGGCGTAGCCACTATGGAAAGATTTAGAGGTTCCTAAAAAGCTAAAAATACAATTGCCATATGATTCAGCAATTCTACTCCTGAGTATATACCCAAAGGAATTGTCCCTAGTCAGATACTTGTACACCAGTGTTCACTAAAACATTACTCATAATAGCCAATAGGTGTAAACAACCTCGAATGTTCATCAACAGATGAATGGATAAACCAAATGTGGTATATCCATGCAATGGAATATTACTGAGCCAAAAGAAGAATGACATTTTGATACATTCTATAACATGGATGAATTTTGAAAACAAGAAGCCAGACACAAAAGGACAAATATTTTAATATGTAGATTGTCTTTTTATTCTGTTGATGGTTATCTTTGCTGTGCAGTAGTTTTTACTTGGATGTAATCACATTTGTTTATTATTGTTTTTGTAGTCTATGCTTTTGGTATCATATCCAAAAAATCATTGCCAAGACCAATGTCAAGCTTTTTTCCTGTGTTTTCTTCTAGTAGTTTTACAGTTTTAGGCCTTAACATTTAAGTCTTTAATCTATTTTCAAATTATTTTTATATTTGGTATATGATAAAGTCCAATTTCATCCTTCTGAATATGGAAATTCAGTTTCCTGGTAACATTTATTATCAGACTATCCTTTCCCCATTGTGTGTTCTTGGCATCCTTGTTAAAGATCAGTTGGCTGTAAATGTGTGGATTTATTTCTAAGCTCTCTATTCTGTTCATTTGGTCTATATGTCTGGTTTTATGTATGTACCATATTGTTTGGATTGCTGTAGCTTTGTAATATGTTGTGATACCTCTGACTTTGTACTTATCCAGGATTGCTTTTCCTATTTGAGGTCTTTTGTGGTTTCAGATGAATTTTAGGATTTATTTATTTGTTTGTTTGTGTGTGTGTGTGTGTGTGTGTGTGTGTGTGTGTGTGAAGTATGCCCTTGGAATTTTGATAGGATTGCATTGAATCTGTAGTCCACTCCTGAATTCTTCCGTCTGCATCTCCTAAGGGCAATTAATTTTCCTTCACAAGCACATCATAATCACATATAAGAAGAAAAACCAAGATGGCGGCATAGGTAAACACCGGAGATTGCTGCCTCGCACAACTACTTCAAAAATACAACTAAAAGACATAACGGACATCATCCAGAACCACAGGAAGGCTGGCTGAGTGGAAATTCTACAACTAGAAGGAAAGAGAAAAGCATACCGAGACTCAGAGGAGGTGCAGTGCTGAAGTAAATACAAAGGTGCGGAGGTGCATGCGGAGAGGGCTGGCGGCTGAGGACACGATTGTCTTTTTCAATCGGGAGGGAGTCTCAGGCTCTGAGCTCCAGTTCCGGGCGAGTCTCTGGGGACCCAGACTCATACGGGAGAAATGGGACTGTCTGGCATCGGTTGGAACTCGAGGGCAGCTTTCTCTCAGAGGCACTCTCGGCGATTGCCAGGACCTCTGAAGGCAGGACTGAGAGCAGCCATACTGCTCGTTCACTCGGCCCGCCCTGTTGATCCCCTGGGACCCCGCCCCGCCCAAGCAGTGCACGGAGGCTTTTGCATATGAAAGGCCCGGCCCTTTGTAATCTGAAAATAACTTAACAAACTGCAGCTGCCCCAAGGCCCCAGGGCAACTTGCATTGCTTTACAGCTGGCTTCTGCTGGGTAGCCTCAGGCAAAGGCTAGATTAGCACCTCCTTAGATCCAAGAGCCAGTGTACCCAGTGGTCAGAGTGGGATCATCCAATTACAACTCCTCAGATCTATAAGGGACACACTCAGGGGGCAGACTCAGTGAGCACCAAAGCCCCACTGAAGCAAGTCTTGCCCCATAAGGGTGTCTTCAGCACAGAAGTTCTCCCACTGTAGACACAGCTGATTCTCACAGCCAATTGGCCTGGAGGTCAAATCCTCCCAGTTTTACCTACAACAATCAAGGCTTAACTACAACAAGACTGTGCACACAGCCCACAAGGGGGTGCACCAAGAGTGTCTACCTCAGGTAATTGGGACACTTAGCACAGAAAGCCATTCTATCGACACAGCGAAGCATAAAAAATGCCGAGAAAAAGAAACAGGACACAAATGACAGAAATGGAGGAAAGCAAACTACTGGATATAGAGTTCAAAACCACACTTTTTAGGTTTTTCAAGAATTTTCTAGAAACCGCCGATAAATGTAGTGAGATCCTCAAGAAATCTAGTGAGACACTTGATGTTGTGATAAAGGACCAACTAGAAATTAAGCATACACTGACTGAATAAAGAATATTATACAGACTCCCAACAGCAGACCAGAGGATCGCAAGAATCAAGTCAAAGATTTGAAATACGAAGAAGCAAAAAACATCCAACCGGAAAAGCAAAATGAAAAAAGAATCCGAAAGTGTGAAGATAGTGTAAGGAGCCTCTGGGACAGCTTCAAGCGTACCAACATCCGAATTATAGGGGTGCCAGAAGAAGAGAGAGAGCAAGATATTGAAAACCTATTTGAAGAAATAATGACAGAAAACTTCCCTTACCTGGTGAAAGAAATAGACTTCCAAGTCCAGGAAGCGCAGAGAACCCCAAACAAAAGGAATCCAAAGAGGACCACACCAAGACACATCATAATTAAAATGCCAAGAGCAAAAGACAAAGAGAGTATCCTAAAAGCAGCAAGAGAAAGAAAGTCAGTTACCTACAAGGGAGTACCCATACGACTGTCAGCTGATTTCTCAACGGAAACTTTGCAGGCCAGAAGGGAGTGGCAAGAAATATTCAAAGTGATGAATGCCAAGAACCTACAACCAAGATTACTTTATCCAGCAAAGCTATCATTCAGAAGTGAAGGTCAGATAAAGAGCTTCACAGATAAGAAAAAGCTAAAGGAGTTCATCACCTCCAAACCAGTATTATATGAAATGCTGAAAGGTATTCTTTAAGAAGAGGAAGAAGAAGGAAAAGGTAAAGATACAAATTATGAACAACAAATACACATCTATCAACAAGTGAATCTAAAAATCAAGTGAATGAATAATCTGATGAACAGTATGAACTGGTGATTATAATAGAATCAGGGACTTAGAAAGGGAATGGACTGACTATTCTTTGGGGGGAAAGGGCTGTTGGGGGTGCGGGAAGAGATTGGACAATAATCGTGCACCTATGGATGAGGACAGTGGGTGGGGAGTGAGGGCGGAGGGTGGGGTGGGAACTGGGTGGAGGGGAGTTATGGTGGGAAAAAAGAGGAACCAATGTAATAATCTGAACAATAAAGATTGAATTAAAAAAAAAAGAAAATCAAGTGTATTCCAGTATATATTTCATCATTTATCCCAATTGCCTCTAAAAATGACCTTTATAGCTGGTCATTTGTCCTGCCTCAAGATCCATTCAAAGTTTGTACATTGCATTTGGCCATTATTTCATTGCATTTGGCCATGATTTCATCAATCTAGGATAGCTCTATCTTCTTCATGACATTGAAGACTTTGTAGAGTCCCGGCCAGTTGTCTTACAGAGTGCCCCAGGTTCAGAAATTTTTCACTTTCTTCATGATTATATTCAAATCAAATTTCTAATAAGAAATATTATAAGTGATATTGTGCACCTGCCACTTTATCACATCAGTAGACACATAATGTCAGGCTGTACCACAGTCATTGATAATGTTTAGTTATGGTAGTGACTGCCAGATTTTTCCTTTGTAAAAGCACATCTTTGCTTTTGGAACTCATAAGTAATATGTGGGAATGCTTCTTTAAGACTGTATATATCCTGTTCCCCACCATGCTTCCACCTACTAATTCTAGCATTCATTAATGATTCTTATCCAAAACATTGGTGCTTACAGTGTTGTGATTTTTAAAAACATCCTATCCTTTTTTTTTTTTTTAATCACTGGTTAGAGAAACATTCAATTTAGATTCTTAGGGAATCATTGTTATTTGAACTTATACATTTTTGCCATTGCCAGGAGAAAAACTTTCAAAACAGCAGTTGCAGAGTTCTAACATCATTAAGAAATTAAGAGCTAAAGACAAAGAAAATGAAAATATTATTACAAAGCTGAAGAAAAAAGTTAAAGAGCTAGAAGAAGAGTTGCAACATTTGAAACAGGTGAATGTTAATTGTTTTCTATATAAATTGTTATTACTTACTACATGAACAGTTCACTGTGGCTTATAAAATATTTGGAATGATTTATTGGGATATATCACATGGGAAGTATTTTTCAACAATTTAATAGACAAATGTTAAGATTATTATTTGTTGTTATAATACTTGAGATTCCTGGAATACACTTATTTACCATAGTGTTATTTATTGAAGAATACTTTTGCCTGTTTTTATAATATAGGTCCTTGATGGTAAAGAAGAAGTTGAGAAACAACATAGAGAAAATATTAAAAAACTAAATTCTGTGGTCGAACGTCAAGAGAAAGATCTTGGCCAACTTCAAGTGGATATGAATGAACTTGAAGAAAAGAACCGAAGTATTCAGGCTGCTCTTGACAGTGCATACAAGTAAGAAAATGAATAAATATGCAACTCATTCACAGTCTGTTAAATGCAGGATGTTGAAGAAATCCTTTTTCTATTATCTGATCACTGACAACATGTAAATTTAGCTATAAATGAACTTGAAACTTTTCAAAGCCAATTCAACAGAGAGTTCTTAACTGCAGTCACTGTTTATTATGTGGTGAACTCTCCCTCATTCTGTAAATCTGATGGAAATCTACATGGAACCTTCATATCCTTGGCCATGTGATTACTGTAAATTATTTTACTTAATTTATCTTTTTCCTTAATCCTCACCCGAGAGAGAGAAACATTGATGAGAAAGAAACATCATTGATAGGTTGCTTCCTGAACGCCTAATGGGGTTCGAGCCTACAACCCGGGCATGTGCCCTGACTGGGAATCAAACCTATGACCTCTTGGTTCCTGGATCGATGCACAATCGCTGAGCCACACTTGCTAGGATCCATTTTTAGAGAGAGTGGGAAGGAGGAAGGGGAGAGAGAGAAATACCGATGTGAGGCACATTGATTGACTGCCTTACACATGTGCCCTGACGGGCCAGGGATCGAGCCTGCAACCAAGGTACATGCCCTTGTCTGAAATCAAACCTGAGACCCTTTGGTCTGTGGGCTGACACTCTAATCACTGAGCAAACCGGCCAGGGCTACTGCATATTATTTTAAATAAAACTTATCAATCTAATTTTTTTAAGAGAACTTACTGATCTCCACAAAGCCAATGCTGCAAAGGCTAGTGAGGCACAGGAAGCTGCTCTGAGTCACGAAATGAAAGCTAAGGAAGAACTTTCTGCAGCTCTAGAGAAGGTCCAAGAAGAAGCCCGTCAGCAGCAAGAAGCATTAGCCATTCAGGTACACGGTGGAGGATGAATTACATCCGCTTTTTAGATTCTGGTGCTTCTGTGAATTAAAAAATCCGTTAGTTTGAGTCAAACCTTCTTTAGTGGTACATTGTTATATTTCCTTTATAATGCTGTTAGGCTAACTTAATTGTGTATTTTTTTTTAACTGTTATTAAAGTGATGCTTAAATTATACAAGTATTGCTTAATTTTTTGTGAATTTCAGGCTTATTTGAGAATATTATGAAAGCTAAGGACCGCTTACCAGAGAAATGCATGTATTCAGAAAAATACTAAACATTCATGTAATTTAAGGGGAATCTGTGTAACTCCATGAAACTCAGATGAATGAGGAACCCCCAAATTTGTCAGACTTTGTCCTATAAAATCATCAGTTGATGGATATTTGGATTTTTTACACTCTTTGTTAATATGAAAAGTGCTGTTTTAAACCTTCATTTATAATTTTTTGTGTGAACATATATTTTAATTTCTCTTAGATATGTACCCTCGAGTCATATGGTAGCCGTATATTTAACTTTTTTGAGGAACTGCCAAACTTTTCTGCAAATGTGCATCATTTTACATTCCCATCAGCCATGTATGAGCGTTTTAATCTCTCTACATCCTTCCCAGTATTGCTTATTGTCTATTTTTTTTCAGTGTAACCCTTTTAGTGGGTGTGAAGTAATATCTGATTGTGGTGTCAATGACTAGTGATGTTGAGCATCTTTTAATGTCCTTATTGGCCATTATGTATCCTCTTTGGAGAAGTTTTTTCAAATATTTAAACCCTTTGCCCATTTTTAAATTGGGTTGTCTTTTTATTAATCTTTATATATTCTACATACTAGACCCTTGTCAGATACAGGATTTGCAAATATTTTATCCCATTCTATATAGGTTGTCTCACTTCCTTGATAGTGTCCTTTGATGCACAAAAGTTTTTTAATTTTGATGAAGTAGAGAGGCAAGGAAGATAAAAAGAAAAAAATATATATAGCTTACTATTTATACTGTTGACAGTTTGCTTTATTTACAAAATAAAGTATCTTTGTGATCATTCCATACTAGAACATAGAACTTTTGTTTTAACCTAAAGCTTTTTAAAAAAATTATTTTTACAGTTATAACGCTTCATTGTATTCAGTCAGTTCTTAATAATGGATATTTGGGTTGTTTAAGTCAGCGATGGTCCATACTCCCCTTGTGTTTCTGCAACTCTGTCACTAGGATAGAGAAATTATTAATGTTTTACATTAAAAATACACTAGAAAAATAAAATAATAAAGTAAAATTGGAGGAATGGGAATTAGAGTGTAGGGCACTATCATTCATAAAATGATCACCTTTAGGAGTACTATCAATTTTGTGTGTTACCTTCTTGTTCTTATTTCCATGTACATATTTTTATACTTTATATATTATTTTACAGTTTTTTCATTTAAGATTAAATCATACATTTTTACATGTACCATAATTTTTAATGAGTATGCTTATGTTGTATTGAGACTTGTAAAAATAGATGACTACTGATGGATATTTACAATATTTCATGATTTGTGTGTTATTGTTGATGTAGCTGACAGTATAGGAAACATGTCTGTGTTTATAGAGATCTGCTTCTATAGAGCGAATTCTCAGGACTAGCTCTCATAGCTCATGTAGCTGTCACATGCAGCCTGCACTGCAGACATATATGGATACGTCATCTCTTATCTTATGGGGCAGCGGCTGTGCCTTGTATACACACACATACATTTTTTTTGCCTAACAGCCTAACAGTACTTTCCTTAGTACAAAGTGAACATACATATAGTTTCGGAATTGCTTGATGAATGGGATGTGTGATAATCATATGTTAAAGCTCATTGGATAGTATAGAGTATTATACATGAACAGTAAGTCAACAGAACACAGAATATGTATTTAGCAGGCAGTGTTCGAGACGGTGATAGTGTATTGGTTTTCCTCACGCAGGTGGGGGACCTGAGGCTGGCCCTGCAGCGTGCAGAACAAACAGCTGCCAGAAAAGAGGATTATTTGCGCCATGAGATCAGTGAACTCCAGCAGGTGCTGCCACAGTTCTTTTAGAAATAAAAAGTGACTCAGCGGGTAATGTTCGTGGAATTGGGAGGATTACTCCCATATGTATCGTTTGCTATTTTTTTGTGGCTTGTGTGAATAAAATCAGAGTTGGAACCTTAAAAATATATAAGAAAAGCCCTAATTCTGTCTTAGAGCAAATCATTTTATGAAAAATTTATTCAGTATTGTTTTCATTTGTAATAGCTGTTTTATTAATTATTATCAGTCTGAGCACTGCCCAGTTTTTATGTTACCCGCTATTCAGTTCCAGTCAGTGAGCATGTGGAGGAAAAGGGAGAGGCAATGCAACTCCGATCAACTTGCCTGTCTTAATAAGTACTTAGAAATTTGGATAGGGAGGCCACTACAGGGAGGTTTGGATGATACTTGTGTTTACCTTATGATGGTCAAAGGCTCTCTTTATCTTAGAAAATGCTTTCTAAAAGAGCACTTATTTAGATAATCATGCAACATAACTCTAACTTAAGGATTGAATAATTATAAAATAATTTAATTCAAAAAGTAATTCTATCTTGGAGAAATAATTTTTTCCAGAAATCCCATAAAATTTGTTTGCTAGTGTTTTTATTGTTGTCAGTGGTAATAACTTAAGAATTTCATGATTCAGAGACTCCAGGAAGCAGAAAATCGAAACCAGGAACTGAGTCAAAGTGTTTCGTCAACGACAAGACCATTGCTTCGACAGATAGAAAATTTGCAGGCAACACTAGGGTCCCAGACATCGTCGTGGGAGAAGTTAGAGAAGAATCTCTCTGACAGGCTGGGTAACTGCTTTAGTTCTTAAGCTCAATGCAGAAGCCCTTCCATCTTATCTATGGAATTAGGGTAATGGTCTGAAATTGAAATTCACTTGCTCTGATAGTTGTATTTTGTGTCTGACTTGTAGATTTTCACCTCTTTTCCTGTTTTACATTTATTTTCTAATATCTTAATTGATTCTCAGATCATTTGTTTTCCCTAACACAACATATCAGATACTGTCTAAATTACTTTCATGTCATTTTTTCATTCAGTTTACTGCACTCAGTTTCCTCCTTGTTTGTTGCTAAATCTGACCTTTTTCTAGCTTGTCTGCAATAATGTGGAAGGTACAGAATAGATATGTTGTAGTCAGTGGAGGAACTCCAAGAGCAGAGCCAGGTCTATGGAGGATCAAGGTTAAATAAATCTAGTATTCAGGTGCTATGCAGTCCTAAGATTTCATATTCTGTTTCTTTACAGGAATGCCCCAATTTGCCCTTCTGTGCTGTTAATAAAAAGAAAATTGTTTTTCCAAGATGTTTATTCAAGCACAGACAGGTGATATATGTATATATTAGATATCCCAGAAGCTAGCAAATTCATGAAAAGTCCATGGAATTTGAGGGACATCATGGTGTAGTGATCAGAGCAGATCTGGACTCAAGGCTTTGCTTTGTTTTGTTTTGAGTCATCCATAGACAGTCTGAAGCGAGTCACTTCCCTTTTCCGGGCTACTCACTGGAAGTCCTGAGCAGTGAAGTAAGTTAGTGGCTTTCAGACGGCCCTCGGCAGGCTCCTCAGGGCTGTCCCGGTGCCAGGGAAGCTCCTCAGTGATGTGCTGGGCCTGCCAGCTGCCACAGTGGAAGTAGTGCCTCCGTTGTCTATCTTTTTTTGAGTTCCATGTCGGATTTTGTCTCAAAAAAGACTTATCTGGTTAAAAGGAAAATCACTGAACTAGATGACTCTTCATGTATTGTTTAATTTATATGTGTACATTTTAGATCTGTCATTTATCTCTGTCAGTTTGAGACCAATTTGTTAGGAAATGTGAGGTATCTGAAAATGACCCCTGAAACAAATACCTATCTAGCAGTAAGTGGAGGCTAGAAGCCCCACGTTGATGGTTTTTACACTGGGGTCTGCATGTTCTCGGGGATATGTGGTAGAATATAGGCAGAGCCACAGGACACACATTGCCTGTGATGCTATTAATAGGACCATAGATGCAGTATAATTGAAACACTTTATTGAGGTAATTGTAGATATACATGCAGTAATAATTCTCACTTTCTTCAGTATATCCAAATGCTAACATTTTGCAAAATTACAATATTACAGCCAGGGTATTGACACTGATACAGTTTACTGATTTTATTCAGATTTTCCCAGTTTTGCTGGTACTCGTTTGTGTGTGTGCGCTTCTGTGTGTATATTAAGTTCTACACAATTTTACCACTTGGTGCGGGTTCATGTTTTCATCACTATAATAAAGATATAAAGCTGACATTTGGGGATTGGCTTTTTTGCTCAGCATAATTCCTTGGAGATGTATCCAAGTTATTGTGTGGGTCAATGATTAGGTTTTTTATTACTAGGTGTTTTTTCATATATATGTACCACGTTTTGTTTACCTGATGACAACTGTATGGGCTGATTCTAGATTTTGTCTGTACAGATAAGCTGCTATGATGAACATTCACATACAAGTTTTAGTGTGAACATAAGTTTTTTATTTCTCTGGATAAATGCCCAAGTATGCAATTGCTGAGTTGTTTGGATAGTTGTATGTTTAGTTTTTAAAGAAAATGCCAAACTGTTTTCCAGAACGGCTGTATGGGAGTAATTCATTTTCTCCATATCTTATTTTAAAATTCATCTTTATTGTTGAAAGTATTACAGATGTGCGCCCCCCTTTTTTCCCCATTGACCCCCTTTAACCTGCACTTGCCCCTCCCAGGCCTTCACCACACTATGATCTGTGTCCATGGGCAGTTTTTCCATATCTTTGCCAGGATTTTGTGTCTCCCTGTTTTTTTATTTTTCATATGTTTTTATTTATTTTAGAGAGAGTGGAGGGGGGAGAGAGAGAGAGAGAGAGGGGGAGAGAGAGAGAGAGAGAGAGAGAGAGAGAGAGAGAGAGAGAAACATTGATGTGAGAGAGAAACATTGACCAGCCGCCTCCTACATGGTTCCTACTGGGGATTGAGCCCACAACTTGGGTATGTGCCCTGACCAGGTATGGAACCACTGACCTTTTAGTGCTGGGACAATGCTCAACCAACTGAGCCTCACCGGCCAGGGCCCTGTTTTTTATATAGCCGTCCAGACAGGTGTGCAGTGATATCGATTATGATTTTAATGTGCATTTCCCTGATGACTAATCATGTTAAACATTATTTCATGTGCTGCTTTTATTTTTAATTTATTTTTATTGCTGAGATGTTTATTTTCTATTTGTGCATTCTCTTCAGTGAAATGTCTGTTCAAGTCTTTTGCCTATGTTCTAATTGGATTGTTTGTATTTTCACTGCTGAGATTTCAAACTTCTTTATATATTGTAGATACTAGTCTTCGATAGATAGTGTGGTTTGCATTTGTTTTCTGCAAGTCTGTAGCTTGTCTTTTCATCCTGTTCACATAGAGCAAAAGTTTAAAATTTGGAAAAAGTCCTGCCTTGGGCAATAAGCAGTTAAGAGTTTTAAGTGTGGCTACTTGCATCACTGAAAGTCAGAACTACTTGGTGTCTTGGCCTCTTGGGTTTCTGTATATGTGAATTTTCTCTTTTTATCCTCCATGCAGGTGAATCTCAGACCTTGTTGGCAGCAGCCGTTGAAAGAGAACGTGCGGCTACGGAAGAACTCCTTGCCAACAAAATTCAGCTGTCTTCCATGGAGTCACAGAATTCTCTCTTAAGACAGGAAAACAGTAGATTTCAGGCCCAGCTAGAATCAGAGAAAAATAGGCTAATAAAACTGGAAGATGAAAAAAATAGGTGAGCATATTTCTTGAGTTATTTTTGGTACTTGATGACATTTTAAGCACTTAAAACATGTGCCGTTGGCTTTTAGCTACATGGCCCTGAGAACTGAAAATACATACTCTTAGTGTTTAAAGTTAGGGCCGTTAGTAATAGGATGTTACATCAAGACATAGTACTGGGATTCATGGGATCTTACACGTATTCTGGAAGTTGTGTTGCATGTTCTATAGGTGCATTTTCTAGAGAAAAGATTCATTGCTTTAATCAGATTTGTTAAAGGAGTCTGTAACCAGAAAATAGTTTGGAAACATATTGGAGTTATTTCATTGGAGTTATTTTTATATTACAAGGGTTTTAGCAGTGTTTCAGTCTTTCTAAATAAATATATTGGTTCTTTGGAAACCACAAGCTATAAAATACATCCACCTGAAATTATATAAGGCTATCTTTATATAAAGGCTATGATTAGTGCATTTTTACCCTCAGTTCTTTCTTGGAAATTTTACTTTTAAAAATGTAGTCAAGTAAAAATGTTTTATAAAGTAAAATACCTGAACTTTTGCAAACATTTTCATTGGACCCCCTAACAACCTTTTGCAGAATCTGAACATACGGAATGGTTGCATTCAAAATTCTTTTAGGAAATCTCTTTTTAAATGAAATCTTAACCCAAAGCACCAATAAATACAATGCACAAAAGTAGTAGTTTGGCTTCTGAGTAAAACCCAAGTCGTCTGGAAAAAAGCAACAGTAGGAAAATCAGTCTGGTAATAAAAATGACTATATATATGTAGCTGGAGTTAATAAAGAAGTGAGTTTTTAATAGTCTGTACTATCATCTTTTTGTTTTGTTTCATTTCCTTTGGCTTAATAGGTACCAGGTTGAATTAGAAAACCTAAAAGATGATTATGTGAGAACACTTGAAGAGACAAGGAAAGAAAAGGTATTTCTGTTAGTTGTTCACTCACCTCTTAGGGCTAGGGGATGGTAGCAAAGTAATGACAAGATGAAATGAATGAACTTACTGCTTTTGGGACTTGCTCTTTAGTAGTAAGACAACTAGGTATATACTTTATGCTCCTAATTTTGAGATTGACTTTTGGGGATGATTTAGTATCATAGGAATTATCTAACTGTATTTCTGTCCATTAGACACTGTTGAACAGTCAGTTAGAAATGGAGAAAATGAAAGTTGAACAAGAAAGGAAGAAAGCCATTTTTACTCAAGAAGCAATAAAAGAAAAGGTATTGAATTTTTTGGTGTAACTGGTTAGTAGCTGTTGTGATTAATCATTGTTTTGTAATTTTAGTTGCACTTTATAAGTAACATTTCTTATGTCTAAAATCAGTAGGATGATGAACCCTAATAATGTAATCAGTGTCTTGTTCAGAGTAGCTCCAGAATATTTTGAGTTTATCCAAACAGATCTGTGATTTCTAGGATTTGAATTGTAGAACCTCTTTTTAAAAGTGAGTTTCCTATATTTAAAGTATTGGCATGTACTCGGTAGTTAGCATAATATATAGAAACTACCTGTATCAACATTGAAATTACCTTTTAAATTTATTTGGAATTTTAAAAAATACACTAAAAATAAAGTAGATAAGCCAGAAACTTTTTATGGTTTATAAAACTCATTGGTAATCTTATTCTAAGGAAACAGGTTTACCCCCACTAGCATGGCTCAGTGGTTGAGGCTCAACCTATGAATCAGGAGGTCACAGTTTGTTTCCTGGACAGGGCACAGGCCCAGGTTGTGGGCTCAATCCCTGGTGTTTGGGGCATGCAGGAGCAGCCGATCAATGATTCTCTCTCATCATTGATGTCTCTCTCCCTCTCCCTCTCCCTTCCTCTCTGAAATCAATTTAAAAAAAAAAAGAAAAGAGGTTTTGTCTGCCCTGGCTGTTGTGTCTCAGTGGTTATAGCATCAGCTCATGCACTGAAGGTTCAATTCCCAGTCAAGGGCATGTACCTGGGTTGCAGGTTAAATCCCTAGCCCTAATTGGACTGTGTGCTGGGGCAGCCAATTGATGTGTCTCTCTACATCAATGTTTCTCTGTCTCTCTCATTCTCTCCCTCTCCCCCTTCCTCCCTCCCTTCTACTCTCTCAAAAAATCAATGGAAAAAATATACTCAGGTGAGGATTAAGAACAACAACAAAGGAAGAAATAGGTTATATAATAGGCAGCAGTGAGTTCATATAATTGTTTTAACAAGAACATTTTCGCCCTAGCTGGTTTAACTCAGTGGATAGAGCATCGGCCTGCGGACTGAAGGGTCCTGGGTTCAGTTCCAGCCAAGGGCACATGCCTGGGTTGTAGGCTCAATCCCCAGTGGGGGCATGCAGGAGGCAGCTGATCAATGATTCTCTCCCATCATTGATGTTTCTATTTCTCCCTCTCCCTTCCTCTCTGAAATCAATAAAAGAAATACGTTTTAAAAAATACATTTTCATTCCATTAAAAATAAATCAGATTATGTTGTTGCAATATACATGAGTCCCTAGATCAGTGGTTCTCAACCTGTGGGTCGCGACCCCTTTGGGGGTTGAACGACCCTTTCACAGGGGTCGCCTAAGACCATTGGAAAACACATGTATAATTGCATATTGTTTTTGTGATTAATCACTATGCTTTAATTATGTTCAATTTGTAACAATGAAATTGGGGGTCACTATAACATGAGGAACTGAAAGGGTCGTGGCATTAGGAAGGTTGAGAACCACTGCCCTAGATGATTTGACCAAGTCTGTCTATACTTTCAGATTACCAAATATTGTGCCTTGCAAGATAAAACTTCAGAAGTTATATCTGTAACATTTTATGAGGAAGTTAGAATGAGTCTTTGTTGTCATTAATCCTAGAAAAGTTTCTTGTTTTTTTATTTACCACTTTGCTCTTAATCCTAACTGAATTTTTTTCTTACTCCTTAAAGGAACGGAAACCATTTTCTGTTTCTAGCACGCCCACAGTGTCACGATCAAGTTCAATAAGTGGAGTTGAGATGGCAGGGCTGCAAACATCTTTCCTGTCTCAGGTGATGTTTTATTTCATACTAGTGGCCTGGTGCATGAAATTCGTGCACAGGGGTGGGGGTGGTTCCCTCAGCCTAGCCTGCACCCTCTCCAACTGGAGACCACTTGGGGGATGTCCGACTGCCGATTTAGGCCCGATCCTACAGGGACATCTCTCTCACAATCTTGGACCCCTGGCTCCTAACTGCCTCTGCCTGCCAGCCTGATCACCCTTAACTGCCCTCCCCTGCCGGCATGGTTGCCCCTAACAGCCTCTGCCTGATTGCTCCCAACTGTCTTCCCCTGCAGGCCTGGTCACTCCCAACTGCCCTCCCCTGCAGACCTGGTTGCCCTGAACTGCCCTCCCCTGCCAGCCCAGTCACCCCTAACTGCCCTCCCGTGCCCGCCTGGTTGCCCCTAACTGCCTTCCCTTGCCGGCCTGGTCACTCCTAACTGCCTCCCCTGTGG